ACAAGGCTGGGCAAAACATTTCAAAATTATCACCTGGCCGTTTTTGTTTATATACTACAACACAGATAACGAGATTGCCATTCTGAATAATTATTTAAAAAAGAGCTCTTCCATACAGCTGCATTCAGTTACAGGTGCCCTGACTCAGTCCATATATCCACTTTAATGATCAGTTTGAGCACAGACAGGACAGACACCGAAAGTCTGTTCACTGATTCATCCACACTGACATCAACCTGATCTGCAGACAGCTATTAGCCAGTGTTAGCTTCCGGCAGGAACAGACTTAATAATGTAGAATCCACACACTGTTCACTCAACTTTCGCAGCCTCGCATCTCATAGCCAGAGCTAATATCTGTTCAACAACACAAATAGAACTCAGGTCAGTGTGCAGAATGTTTTTGTTTTGTTTATCCCCCTGGCCGAAAGGATCTCTAGGTCTGCAACAAGAAAGCCAGTCAGCTAACCACCCTGAGTCATGGCATTCTCATAAACTGGCATATTTACAGAACTGTTGCACCTCACTGCAGTTAATATAGCCATCTGTCATCTATGTTACTTTATAAGTTACAGTAATGTTTTTGTGCATGTTGCAACAACTTGTTTTCCACAAAGTGAAGATTTTACACAACATGCAGTTTGAACTAAACTATTTACAAGTAGTATGTGCACACACAACATTTAGCATAGATGTACATGTTTACTGAAAAAAGATGCAAATACAAAGATCCTTCTCATTGGCCTTAGTAACATAATTTGGGCTCTGCTACATTAATTTCCACTTGAAGCATTAGTCAGACTTAAGATTGATTTATAGGTGTGTATTAAGGGTTTAATATTCAGAGGTATTCCTTATATTCTGACCCTCTCATATATGTAGCTGGGGAGGACAAAAATATAGACAGCTCTGGATATAATATAGTCCACTACAACACTACCCTTAACTATGACCTCAATAATAAACATATAATTGAATTTATGCATTTATGACAAGTTCACCAAAAACTGAAACGTTCTGAGCTTCATAAACACAGATTTTAAGGCAGAAGTGTTTCACTGAATTGAATATAATAGTACATTATAATAAACTGGCTGGTGAGTGTAAATCAGCACTTGAACTGTGTCCATTACCGCCCATCTTTAACTTGTGGTTGTCTCTCAGGGTCCTTTAGAGCAGACTCCTCCCAGTGTCTTGGCAGCTTTGGCCCATGGATTTGAGCAGAGAGATGTTGAGTCTTCCAAACCTACTCACAAAATCAGAGTTGACTTCAAGGTAGGTCCTTTATTCACAGTATATCACAAATGTTGTAATATTAACACTTATTTTCTACTGCTGTGTATATTGAATGGGTAAAACAAGATCAAAGATTTTTTTATTGTCAGTTCACCATATGTGCAGGACATACAGAAAATCAAAATACCGTTTCTCTCTCACCTAGTATTGAATGCCATACCATTTAGGAAACTAAAATAGAATAAAGGTAGTGCAAAAAAGAATAAGAAAACTAAATCAAAGTGATTAGGATAAAACTAAATGGTACAACCTAATGGGCTGTGACTCAGACCCTGTACAATTAGTGACATTAGTGCAAATAATAAGAAGATTGTCAGATGGTTGTGAGACTGAGATGCACATGGACAGTAGTGCAAATGACCAACAGCAGCAGATATGATGGTAAAAACATTCAGCAGCAGATGTACATGTAATATAACAAGAAGGGTGAATGTACTTTATGCAAATGGCAGAGGTAGTCTTTTTATGTTCTGTGGTAGGGCACAGTCCAGGGGCAGGGGGTAATGGACAGCATTCAGCATCCTCACAGCCTGGTTGATGAAGCTGTTTGTAAGTCTGGTGGAGTGGGCCTGAAGACTCCGATACCTTCTCCCTGAAAGCAGGAGTCTGAAGTGGGAGTGTGAGGGGTGGGAGGTGTCATCAGCAATGCTGATGGCTCTGCGGGTGAGGTGGGTGTTAAAAATGTCCATGAGAGAAGGCAGAGGGGCACCGATGATCTTGTTGGCTGTTTTCAGTTATAGAACAACTGTAGAATTCCTGTGTGGTGACGGTAACTCAAAAAAAGATAAACAGCTTTGTGAAATAAAATACTTTACTTTCATCAAACGTTATTTAGTCCTCAGAAAATTATATCGTTAGCATTTTAACACCATGTCACGTTTAAGTGAAGCCACTGTAATTTACTAGGTCACATCTCATTACTAATTTAGTCCACTAGAGGTCATTGTTTTCCTAATTCCAAAACAAATATACCCCATGCTTAGTGAAGGGCTTAATTGGAAATGTGTTACAAGTGATCTGTTTGGTTACGCATCTTGAGGGAGAATAAAATTCTTATATGTATAAGCCTTTTATTTGACCTTACAGCTTCCCTCAGAACTTGGCATGTAAACCCAGCACTCACCTAGTCAGCCAAATGTTCCAAACCTCAACAATTCTAGATATGTATCTGTTTAGTCCATGGGTATTAGTCAATATTATGTACTGTATTATGATGTGAACTATGAGGAGTCTTTTCTCAGCAGTTACTACATTGTCATTGTCTCATTTTCAGGAGGACTGTACTTTGGACAACGTCTGGAATATGGGTGGTCTAAGTATATTGACCTCTGCACCGGTCATGCCACCATACGTCTGCTTCCTTTGTGCCAGTAAAGGGCAACATGAGGTAAGTGCTCAATACATGCTCTCTTTTAATTAAAATAGTTGATCTGTTAAGTTGCCTTTCCTATCAGTTTAAAATTGTAAACTGCTGACTGATAAGGTTCTTATACTTGTGCTATACACTACACAGTTGCACTTTCAGCACCATATAATGCAGATTTTTAAAAATAATGAGTTTCATCACATTTGAAGCTTATATAATTTCAAGGCAATTTTAAAATGAAATGCCTTTTTTGTTCATGTGAATACCTTTTTGCAGATGCTTTATTGCCAGGTATGCTGTGAGCCCTTCCACCGGTTTTGCCTTGAACCAGCAGAGCGCCCCTCTGAGGAGAACAAGGAAAACTGGTGCTGTCGTCGCTGCAAATTCTGCCATGTGTGTGGCAGGAAAAACAAGCACTCAAAGGTAGAGGTTTGTTTTGCTACATTTTACTGCTCATTATTAAAGCATTTCAGTCTGGAAACATCATATTTTTCACATCCCCCTCAGCCTCTGTTGGAATGTGAAAGATGCCAGAACTGTTATCATGCTTCCTGTTTGGGATCCAACTATCCAAAACAAAATAAGAAGAGGAAAGCTTGGGTAGGTTCACTTTTCTTAAAGGAAAAGCACACAAAGACATGTATGTTTACCACAAGCATGCTGAGGTTGGTATACATTGATTGTTGGTCCTAATATAATGGTTTCTGTGCAGGTTTGTATGACATGCATCAGGTGTAAAAGTTGTGGTGTCACACCGGGAAAGATTTTGGACACTGACTGGAACCACGACAAAGGACTTTGTCCAGACTGTTCACAACTCTATGAACAGGGTGAGGGGGTGAATGTAATCCGATTAGATCCTTCAGTTCCTGTATTAGCTACCAACATTATCATGCTGTGTTGAGGCTAATCATCTCTCTCTCTCTAATAAGGTAACTACTGTCCAATCTGCTTCAAGTGCTATGAGGACAATGACTATGACAGTCAGATGATGCAGTGTGGCACCTGTAACCACTGGGTGCATGCCAAGTGTGAGGATCTAACCGGTAATTTTTAGTTTATCTTTTTGAGCTTCAAAAATCATTTTCAGCAGTGCTCATAATTCTGCAGCAACAGTGTTGAATGCATTTAAGGGAAACAAAACTATTATTACCTGAGCGTGCTTACAGAACCCCACAGCAAACTAGGCATACAGTCATCCAATTGTGAACTCCTGTTTTCGTTAAAACAACTCATAATGTAGACAGATTTTGGCTGTAGATGCAGTGCACTACAACTCCACACTCCTAAACTCTTCTGTGAAATAATTTCAGATGAGCTGTATGAGATCCTTTCCAGCTTGCCAGAGAGCGTAGTGTATTCATGTCGGCCATGTAGTGTGACCCAGCCCAGTGCCTGGAGAGAGCTGCTCTACATAGAGCTCAGGGCTGGGGTGGAGAAGGTACTAGCTTGCTTGCTGTCCTCCACCCTCACCCAACACCTCGTTACCTGCTCACAGGTAAGAGTCTGAGCATTCAAATGTACCATGTCATAGATGAGGCTGTTACATGGTTTATTTATTTTAGAATGCTTGCAAAACTTAACTTAGACATGAAATACAGCACGTTAATTGAATATGTTTTGGGTTGCGCTGCAGTGCGAAAAGTTGGTTGATCCTGACAGTGGGACAGAAGGCCAGCCGGCCTGTGACCTCCGAGCTGTAGGCAAGAAGTTTGACAAAGGCCTTTATACTACGTTGGTGAGTACACAACCTTATATTCAGTGTCTGACCACTTGAGTTATTCAGTTTTTGATCACTGTGCATGTGAGTATGCTCACTAGAAAACCCCACACACTGTTGATTGCTACTCACTTAGTAATCAGGTAAGATTTTTTTTTCTTCCAATTTTCACCTTCGTAGTTTTTGATCCAATGCACATATCAGCATGAAGTTCTCGAATCCACACAAGAAACCAGAGAAGTCAGAGTACCTAATGTCACTGACAACCAATGTTCAAAAACAAAACTTCCAGCTTGGGTCATTTATCAATTTGCTAAAACAAAGCCTAAGAAAAGGACATCAATCCCTCAACTACCTTGTGGTAGGATGATTTGCCTCATCATAATAATAATAATAAACTTTATTTATATAGCACTCTACAACTCGAGAGTCCAGAGTGCTGCACAGTAAAACAAACATCACCAAATAAAACCATACTAAAAAATAATAGACCATACCAGAACAGTAAAAAACATAAACAGAATAAAACACAGGTATACAAAACAAGGTTCTAGAAGTTCCATGCAGAGATGGAGGTAACACAACAACAAATTAAACAACGGGGGAGGTGAGAACGGCCTAAACATCAAAAGCCTGTTTAAAAAAATTGGTTTTTAGGGCCGACTTGAAAACCGCTAGCTCAGTCTTAGACCGTACCTCTAAGGGAAGAGAATTTCAGTGTCTGGGGCCATATACCGCAAACGACTGGTCGCCCCATTTTTTATATCTAGAACGCAGGACAGCTAGGGACAAGTGTTCTGAGGAGCGAAGAGCTCTACGCGGCACATAAATCGACAGCAGGTCAGACAGGTACGGCGGAGCGAGGCCATGGATAGCCTTAAAACCAAACACCAACGTCTTAAATTTAACTCTATACTGAATTGGAAGCCAGTGCAAGGAGCGAAGAACCGGGGTGTATAATGTATGTTAAAATTCCTTGAGCAGCGTTTCTGCATCTGGGTATTGCTTGACAGGGCATCAACCCTTACATCAGCAACTAAGATAGGCCTAAAAACCTCTCTTTTTTTTTTCCCATATAGAAAATGTTCCATGAAGATGTGGTTCAGGTGGTGCGAAAGAGACTTGAGCAAGAGGAGGATCTTCCAGAGGAGCAGAGGCCCACTGCCCTGGCACGATCTTACTACTTAAAGGTGGTCTATGATCAAAAGAGACTTCTCCTTGAAAATCGTTCAGTTTTTGATAACTGAAAAAACTTAGAAAAAATCAACTGGACTAGATTTCTAGGTCGAAGATGTTTCACCTCTCATCCAAGAGGCTTCTGATGAACTGATGAAGCCTCTTGGATGAGAGGTGAAACATCTTCGACCTAGAAATCTAGTCCAGTTGATTTTTTTCTAAGCTTTTTCAGTTTACTATGACCTGGATGACTGAGAATCTGCATAGTCAGTTTTTGATAGTTTAATAGTTTCATGCTTTAAACTTTTAATAATCAGAGTGTTTAATATTAACAATCTAATGTCAGTGTGAGGGGATTGTTGTCAACATTACTGAGAATTGGATGTAGACATTTTTATTTTGCAAATAGGAGTGTGAAAACTGCAAAGTAAATCTGTGTAATGACTATAATGGGTGAGTTAGCATTTATTATTGGCTAATATGATTTTTCTCTTAGCTCCTCGAGGAAGTATTTAATTGGTTCAACAGCCAAGACCCAAAGGTGTGGAATCCCTGTACCAAAGATTTGCCCATGTGAGTAATGATTTCCATTTACTGGCTTGTATACATGTGTAAATTAATTTGAGAATTACTCTCACTTATATAGTGCAGTCTGCATGTTCTCTCTGTGCCTGCGTGGGTTCTCCCCTGGTACTCCGGCTTCCTCCTACAGTCCAAAGACATGCAGCTTAGGTTGATTGGTGCCTCTAAATTTCCCCTAGGAGTGAGTGTGGGTGTGTGTGGTTGTCTGTCTTTAAGTGTCAGCCCTTTGATAGACCTGTCCAGATTGTACCACCTCTCCCAATGTCAACTGGGATAGGCTCCAGCCCCACTGTGACCTTCTTCAGGATAAGCAGTATACATAATAGATTAATGGATCTCACATACATGACCCTTGCCCAAAATAATGAAATTCATATTTTTTTTTTTTTTTTTTAAACACTCAAGCTGTTTTAATGGTGCTATGTAGGGACAATTATGTGTTTAGTGTTCTGCATACCTACTTGTATACATATATGAAAGCTGTTTCTGTTCCATGGCATCACTATAAAAAATTTTTTAAAACCTTTTAATCCTTTTGTGTTCAATAGGGGCATGCTACCCCATGCTGTCCAGCCTCCTACAACGGAACATGTTTATGCCCAGTGGCAGGAGAGGAAGGAGCTCTCGTCCAGGGCTCCACTGGGGGTCTTGCAGGAGGACAATGGACAAAACTTAGATGTTAAGGAAGAAGAGGCACTTTCTCCAGCATCTGGGGACGCAACAAACCAGAACCCCCTCAAAACCGGCAGGGTTGTCAGGCTCAAATTCAAAGGTAATGTGATCATTCAGGAGAGAGAATAATACACATATGCTTTTAGATTCTTTTTTTTTTATCTTGCAATGTTTGGACCTTTAGGTTTTTACTTTTAATCATTTATACAGGGAAAAGAGGCGGGCTCTCCAAATCAGATTTAGACACTGGATGGTCTAAAGATGATGGGCGACAGTGCTCTTTGTGCCAGAAATACGGAGATCTCAAACCTAATGTAAGTAAATATGAAATAATAAACAGCGTTCATTGTACATTGTAAATACCCAACTTGGAGAGTGAAATGCTTGTAATAACTGTACATGATTACTTGGTTACAAATTCACAAAGATCTTTGTGGGGATGTTTTACAGGAAGCAGGCAGGTTGCTGTACTTGGGCCAGAATGAGTGGGCACATGTCAACTGCTGTCTCTGGTCAGCGGAGGTGTTTGAAGAAGACAATGGCTCACTACTACACGTACACAGTGCTGTCACAAGGGGCCGGCTGATGGTTGGTTGCTGATCTCCTTTATAAATTGAATCTTTTAGTTGAATATTGAGTATTAATTTATAAAAGATAGGTAACTTGCAAAATTTCATAGAGAGCAAACAAGCCAATATTGATATTTTAAAGAATCATATTAACAGCATGTCAGGCATACTCGACTCAAAAACAAATAGTGCCCCATACCCATAGGGATGAAGTATTTTTGTAGACCAGCCCGGAAGTTAGCATCACCCTCAACAAAAAACCAGTAGGATTTTCCCATAGGCTTTCGGATTATTGCAGAATACAAGTTTTTTCACAAAAAAATGGTTTATGACATTTTTTTTTTCAGCAAGATAACCTTTACAAGTGAAAACAACATATGATTTTTGAAACCCAAATCCAATCAGTAGAAGTAAAAATTTTAGGATTCACTATCGTGGCATGCAGTTTGCATTTTTATTAGTTGCTGTTGCTCATTCATTACTCTGACTCAAACTTTACATTTCACCCTTATCAATTACAACCCCCTCTTAGCGATGTGAACGCTGCAACCAGACAGGTGCCACAGTGGGCTGCTGCCTAACATCTTGTCAAAGCAACTATCACTTCATGTGTGCTCGCTCCCGCCACTGCGTTTTCCAGGATGACAAGAAGGTCTACTGCTACAAACACCGCCACCTCATCAGTGGCAGGGTAAATTTTGTTCTTCCAACTTCTCTTACAAAATGTTGCAACTGACTGTGACTTGGATTATCACTACTTTTCCTTTGTTGTACAGATGATAACCGGTCAAGAATTTGAAGTAATCCGCAGGGTGTATGTGGATTTTGAAGGGATCAGCCTCCGCAGAAAGTTCTTGACAGGACTGGAACCAGAATTGATCAGTCTCATGATTGGTAAACACCTTTATTTTAATTTGGTGCCCATTTTCTTGGTATTTGCTAACATGAGGTTTTGTTAAACTTAGTATTGGTATCCACATTGCCACCACACAGGTTCCTTACAGATAGATAAACTAGGTGTGCTGACAGAACTTTCACCCAGCAGAGGAAAACTGTTTCCTGTGGGCTTTCAGTAAGTTGCATGTTACCTTTTCAAACTTGATTTTATAAATTACACATTTACTTGAAATATTGAATTGAAATGATGTTTTTTCCATCGGAAGGTGTTCTCGTTGGTACTGGAGTACAGTTAATCCATCACGACGATGCAGATATACGTGTACAGTTCGGGAGGTCCGGCCTATTATCCCTGAGAAGCCTGTTGAGGAGATGCCTGACCAAGGAGACAATCACACCATTGCTCATAGCCCCTATCCTTTATCTGGTGCGTGTATTATTACTGAAAGAAATTCAGTAAAATGTATAAGGAAACTATAAAGATACTAATAGTTTCATAAACGATTTATATAAATCTTTAGAATCTGAAGCCCAGAAGACTGGTTTCACAGAATCCCAGCCCCCAGCGGAGGAAATCTTGTCTCCAGGACCTCCACTGAAGACAGGTCACAGTGCAAGGCCAAAAATTCCCAGCTATCCTCAAACCAGGAGACCAGCTGGAGGACTGTCCCGACCTCTGCCATCCCCAGGTAAAAAAAATAAATAAAAAAATTGAGGTAAGAATTTTTTAAAGTCACCAACAACAGATCGTTTCGATCAAAAGCACACAAGTCTCAAGCTGTTGATACATTCTGTTTTCTTGTTAGGCGTAACCCAGCTGAAACCCCATCACATATTAACCATAAGTGATCTGGAGGAGACTCGAAGGGCTCACCGTCACAGCCCGCACTCACAGACAACAGGCCCCCGCAGTCACATGCCCCCTCCTCCTCTGGGCCCTCTGACTGGACCAATCACCCTTCGTGCTGGGAAATCTTCCCTTCCCACTTCCCCACTGTTTCCACTTGGTGCTACAGACAACTTGATAAGTTCTCCATCGTCCCGCCTAGTTGGAGGTAGAAGTGCTTCCTCAGTCCGATGCCCTGGGAATACAATGACACATTGTACCTCATCATTCTTTCCTCAGTCTCCCTGGCAGGACAGTGTGGGAAGCTTTCCCTCTCCAAGTCTGTCTTTCTCTTCATCCTTACAACAGTTACCCAGAACTCGATTATCACTTGATCTGACCCAGTCAGACTCGGTCGAGGTGCCGCACAACTTCTTAGCTTCACCAGAGCCTGAAGATGTCTCTCCAACAAATGGTACTTCACCCCAGGAGGACTCAGACCAACA